AGGGAGGAGCAAAGGGGAATGGTCTAGAGCAGCCTTTCTCAAACGTTTTACCCCAGAGGAACCCTTGAAAGAATTTGTAGGTCTTAGGAATACTTGCTGAAACAAGTTCAACCGGAGTCAGTGGGAAGGATGTCCTTTACACTGGCAGTTAGTGGGAAAGTGCTCTGTACATTGGTGGTCAGTGGGAAGGATGCCCCTTCCATTGGCAGTCAAGGGGAAGGATGTTCCTTCCACTGGTGGTCACTGGGAAGGATGCTCCTGCCACAGGTGGGCACTGGGAAGGATGCTCCTGCCACAGGTGGGCACTGGGAAGGATGCTCCTGCCACAGGTGGGCACTGGGAAGGATGCTCCTGCCACAGGTGGGCACTGGGAAGGATGCTCCTGCCACAGGTGGGCACTGGGAAGGATGCTCCTGCCACAGGTGGGCACTGGGAAGGATGCTCCTGCCACAGGTGGGCACTGGGAAGGATGCTCCTGCCACAGGTGGGCACTGGGAAGGATGCTCCTGCCACAGGTGGGCACTGGGAAGGATGCTCCTGCCACAGGTGGGCACTGGGAAGGATGCTCCTGCCACAGGTGGGCACTGGGAAGGATGCTCCTGCCACAGGTGGGCACTGGGAAGGATGCTCCTGCCACAGGTGGGCACTGGGAAGGATGCTCCTGCCACAGGTGGGCACTGGGAAGGATGCTCCTGCCACAGGTGGGCACTGGGAAGGATGCTCCTGCCACAGGTGGGCACTGGGAAGGATGCTCCTGCCACAGGTGGGCACTGGGAAGGATGCTCCTGCCACAGGTGGGCACTGGGAAGGATGCTCCTGCCACAGGTGGGCACTGGGAAGGATGCTCCTGCCACAGGTGGGCACTGGGAAGGATGCTCCTGCCACAGGTGGGCACTGGGAAGGATGCTCCTGCCACAGGTGGGCACTGGGAAGGATGCTCCTGCCACAGGTGGGCACTGGGAAGGATGCTCCTGCCACAGGTGGGCACTGGGAAGGATGCTCCTGCCACAGGTGGGCACTGGGAAGGATGCTCCTGCCACAGGTGGGCACTGGGAAGGATGCTCCTGCCACAGGTGGGCACTGGGAAGGATGCTCCTGCCACAGGTGGGCACTGGGAAGGATGCTCCTGCCACAGGTGGGCACTGGGAAGGATGCTCCTGCCACAGGTGGGCACTGGGAAGGATGCTCCTGCCACAGGTGGGCACTGGGAAGGATGCTCCTGCCACAGGTGGGCACTGGGAAGGATGCTCCTGCCACAGGTGGGCACTGGGAAGGATGCTCCTGCCACAGGTGGGCACTGGGAAGGATGCTCCTGCCACAGGTGGGCACTGGGAAGGATGCTCCTGCCACAGGTGGGCACTGGGAAGGATGCTCCTGCCACAGGTGGGCACTGGGAAGGATGCTCCTGCCACAGGTGGGCACTGGGAAGGATGCTCCTGCCACAGGTGGGCACTGGGAAGGATGCTCCTGCCACAGGTGGGCACTGGGAAGGATGCTCCTGCCACAGGTGGGCACTGGGAAGGATGCTCCTGCCACAGGTGGGCACTGGGAAGGATGCTCCTGCCACAGGTGGGCACTGGGAAGGATGCTCCTGCCACAGGTGGGCACTGGGAAGGATGCCCCTTCCATTGGCAGTCAAGGGGAAGGATGTTCCTTCCACTGGTGGTCACTGGGAAGGATGCCACTCTCCTTGGTGGTCACTGGGAAGGATGCACACACTTTCAGACCAATAAAAGAATTGATGTAATGGCATTGGGTCTGCCAACAGGAATTGGCCCTAGAACTATGCAGACACCATCACATGGGAGGGAAATCAGCCACAGCTCAAAGAACACCTAGCAACCCCTAGAGTTCCACAGAAGCCTGGTTAAGAAAAGGTTGCTATAGAGAGTCACTTGATTAATACACGGAGTCTGCTGACATCACATCCAAGATGGCGGCACCCAACAGCAGCCTCAGGGCTTTTGGATGTCTACACCAAGGAGGCTTTTACATGTTAAAAAAAAAAAAACACATACATTAAAGATGTTAAATTCCCATATAATCTTGTGTGGAGGTTTTTGTTGAAATGATTGGTCTGGCAACAGGTTCTCCCTAATGCCCTAAAAGTAAAACTCTGCTGCACGCTCCGCCGTCAGCTTCCTGGTATGAGTGACTACAGAAATGACATTAGGAAGCCAACTAGTTATTACAGGCAACAAGAATTGTCCATTTTATCATACACGGGGCCCGTAGTTACCAATAAGAAAATGCAGCCCGGTCACTTAAAAAGTAAATAGTGAGCTATAGCACCAGTCACATGACACAATGGCAGCTTCGGAGGAAGGAGTGGCCTGTAACAACGCAAGTTGCTGGACTGGCGTTCAGCACAGTGGTCTCGATCACCCGTAGGTTGATAACGAGTCCGCGGCTTCTCTTACTGAAAGCCAACGAATTAAAGAAAACGAATTCTAGGAGGTAACAGGATTGGACAGTCATTCAGTCCACAAAAGGTGGTCTTCTTGCAGAGGACGGGAGGGAGCTGCGTACCGTAGAAGTTCGTCCCTGGTAGACATTTTTTTTACCACAAAGAAATAAAATTTAAGATACATCGGTGGAAAAAAAGTTAAGCAATGGAGGCGCAGGCGCGGCCCAGACTCCTGTACAATGGCCCATTTACTGGCCCTGAAGGGGTGTTTGGCCACATACAGCTCATCTGGCAGCCTCAAACTCTCTCTCGCCACAACCAAATGGCGCGCTGCCTCACGGTTCAACCTCTCCGCTGCCTCTTCCACCGTGAAGACCAAAGAACATCGCTCCTGCAACAGGCAGTAACGGGAAAAAAAATAAACTATGTACCACACGGAGATGGGAATAAAATCCCAACATCCATACAAAGAGTCCTGATGTGCCAAGTGGGCAAGGAGCACCCCATTTTCAGTGTCTGCCTTTTAGACGAGCTCGTCGGGTGGGCGGCAAATGGTAACTAGCCATGTCTGT